ACACAAATCAGGATGGAAGCTTCACTGAATACAGTGAGACTTACTTAAACACGAATGATTATGTTGAAAAAAATGATACAGCAAGAGCACTTCATAGTGTTAAGTCTATTCCTTACTCACACTCAGTATCTTCCTTTAACTTACTAGAGAACCATAGTTTTTAAAAAGTAAATCAATTTGCGCAAGATTACCAAATGTGATTGTAAAGTTGTGATTACAGTTCAAGCCATAGTACTTGAAAGGCATTCACATTTAACTATTTCAAAAATTATCAGTTTTAAGGTTTTGTCTGCCGTTTTCTTGTGCTTTATAATTTGTATTCACTCTACACTGTATGAAGTCTGACATAAAAGAGGTGTTAATTTTTAAAAAATAAAATATAGCAGTCTGCTCTCTGAATCTAAGAAGGAGCAAGCACTCACCATAGCAGAATAAAAAATACTATACATTTGCTAAACTGTTTCTTTCAGGAGCTATAGCATTATGTCTTATGGAAACATATACAGATTAGCTTAATATTCATAATTCTGTGTAAACATATTTTGATTTTGATTTTTTAAGATAGCTAAAAGCACTATTTTTAATTAAGAAGCATGTCAGAAGACATATACCCTTATCATTATCACTTTTTATACAATTTACTATAGCAATATGCGCAGTATAACTGTGCCCCAAAACAAACCTAAGGAGAAAAAAAAATTACAATTGTGATCAGTATTTGTGACTATAAATCCTAAGCAATTTGCTGTATTCTCAGGGAAGAGCAACATTACATAAACAGCAGTTATGATTTTTAAAAATGAAATGTTTTGGAAATTCAGTAACATAATGAGTATCAGTCAAGCTGAACAGTTAAAAAACCTTTTTTCAAGTGACTCACCCTAGAAAATATGCATGTATAATGCAATACACAGTGCTCTTTTGGCATGCTAAAACTAACTTGCTTGCTAAGATTTTAAAAATATTTTTTAAAAAAATAGCAAGGACCTGTTCTTGGCAAACACAGCAGCCACCTATCCCTGTCTCAGTAACACTCATCCTCAATATTACTATAGGATATTCTGAGTGAATTTTTGCCATTTGGGCCTACTAGGGAAGTATTTTTATTCAGAATCAGCTTACCAGCAAGCAGTGGTGACCTCATTTCCATTACACCAACTGAAGGACCACTTAAGGAACGAGGTTGTGGCGTCACTGGAGTTGGCATATCACCCATCAGAAATCCAGGCAGAAACTGAGCACCAGCACCTGGTTTTGGTGAAGAAGGGGATCCTAATGCCATTGGCTCAGCACCTGTATTACAAAAGGTGGTTCACATAAAAACTGTGTTAAGCCTCCACCAAAGACACTACAGTAGCTGGTTGTTAACTCCAAGACTTTAAAACAAAACACAAAAATAAAGCTTTCCTATTTAAATACAAGCGCCCTGTTAAGCATTAACTTAGTTTGCAGTCACCGTATTCATGGCTACGCAAATATCTAAATCCACGTTACTCTATTCCTAGAGCCACCTTCCCTCTGAACAAACAAGAGACAATTATAGCAGACGTAAGACCAAGAGGTGGTCGTCACTTCTTAGAGCAATGAGTGCTTAAGACGTTCATGGCTCTTTACAGCGTACCTAAGCCAACAGGTCTAAAAACAACTTCCCGGACCGGCCCTGCGGCCGCCTTGTGAACGCGACCGAGCCCATCGTGGGGGTTCATCTGCTTTTCCCTTCCCCGACCAAGCGCTAAACCTGCTTTCCCTCCTCAGACGCCCTTGCTTTCCGGGACTCCGCCGTATAGGTCTAGTTTCAAGTGACGTCACAGTCGTGGACTACCTACCCTCCCTCCCCGCGAGACTCAGGGCATTCTAGAATCCCACCCCCAGCCCGCCAGTGGAGCTCAAACGCCCGAGCCCTGACGTGGGGCAGAAAGAGAAAAACGGCCAGCGGTGAGCACGTTTCCCCTCCCCACCTTCCCTAGAGTCTGCCGGATCCAACGAGGGACAGGGAACAGCCCAGGAGAGCCCGAGAAGAGGCTCACCCAAAGAAGGGGAAGATAGCGGCAGCTCCATAGCGAAGACAGCCATCCACGCCGGGAAAGCGGCAGCCACGACAAACCACCCGCGTGCACACCACCCGCCTTCCTCTTGCCTCAGCCCGTCACTTTCAAATGGGGCGGAAGTGCCGCTCTTGCCCGCGGTAGAAAGGCTGACACCACTTCCTCCCAAGAACGGGTCATAGAGTTGAGACTGGGGGCCTCTCCTCCTTGCTTGTGGCTCTATGATCGTTTCTCTCGGAATGCGAGGGAAGATGGAATTGTTCGGGCCCTTCTTTTGCACACCGGAAGGCCGTTTCGGGCTGGGTTGTTGCATGGCTCAATCTCCCGGCCGTGATTCTGTTAGTGTGAGTCCTCGGAAGAAGTGACCCATGAAATTAAATTAAAGATTTTTTGGAAGCTGCGATTTTATTTTTTTTTTTGGTGGAAGACGAAAGAAAAGAAAAAGGCTTACTTTTTCAAACTCCGTGTGCAGAAAAATAACGAGTTTAAGCTATTTAAGACGTAAATTCCATCGTCAATACCTTCTGTTCCAGGATAATAGGAAATATTGTTTTATTATATGAGATCAGATAATTGCATGCAACTTAAGAAGGTGGCTGGAGGGGAGCAGTACGATTTCTTTTATTTCCCCTTTGGAAAGGGTGTGGATGTCCTGGACTTACAGCTGTGTGGTTCTTTCCTCCTTGTTCTTAGCCATGAATGGTTGGTATTAAAGGAGACAGTCATGGCTCATCTTCAAACTGCTTTTGAAAGATTGGAAAGTGGAAGTGCAGATATGTTTTAAAGCTGCATCTGTCTGGTCCTATATAAGAAACAAAAACTCTTATTCATATGAGGAGGGGCACAATATTCAGAGCAACTTTTGCATTTGAAAGACTTGCTAGGATGGTTGAAGCCCGGGAAGTGGGGTGCAGGAAGAATATCTGCAGAGAAGACACTAATCATCTACAAGCTCCACAGAGCCACAATGTTTCAAAGAAAATACTATTTTAACTGCAGTTTCCATTTTTTTTAATCTGTTCAATCATGTCTGAATTTTGGAGACTGCCTGGACAAGTCCCTGCAGTTTTCTTGGCAAAGTTTTTTGGAAGTGATTTGCCCTTGCCTGCTTCCTAGGGCTGAGAGTGACTGACCCAAGGTCACCCAGCTGGCTTTGTGCCTAGGTGGGACTAGAATTCATGGTCTCCCAGTTTCTAACCTGATGCCTTAACCACTACACCAAGCTGTTAGGATTTTCTCATGGGAAGGATTCATCTCGTTATCTGCAAAACAATTTTTGTTATGGCTAAGCAAAGCGTGTGAATTAGTGTTTTAGTTTGCACGTATACTGCCATTTATTGCCACCTATTGGTGTGTGTATGCTAGTTACCCAGTGGGGGGCACATATTGGCAATATAATGGGAGGATTATATGCCCAGCCTCTCAGTAGAGTTTTAG